TGTGGTACATCTCCCTCCGTCCTCGAAAAAACACTATGACTGCCTGCAACAGCGGGTCGAGAAGCGCCGCGCTGATGTGCTCGAGATGGTGCGGAAGGATCCCGTGTTGGAGGAGGAGATGAGGACAATGCTGGGGGTGCAAGGGTTGGAGGGCGTAGCCGCAGCTCACGCGGAAAACACTCGCGCGATGGCCGCTTCGTTGGCCGCGTTGAAGGGCAAAAGCCAGAGTAACATCGGCCGCGTTGCGTATACGACCGTGCTGGCCGCGGTGGCTGGAGCTGGGGAGCACACTTGCAGCCCTACCGATCCGTGCAACCCCGCAGAGCGGTGCCCTCCCGCTGAGCCGCAGGGTGGCGTGAGCTTCGCCCAGCGAGCGGAGAGCCTTGGGGTGAGGGAGAAAACGTTCCGCGCGGCGTATGTCCGGATGCACCATACCGACCATACTATCCCCCCGCCGCAAGCTCTGGAAGAGGGGCGCTACTGCTGGACTACACGCAAGACAAGGAGCGACGCGACGGACGAACGTGTGCTGGAGTTAGCGATCCGGTTCTGGCATTGCGACGACGTCTCGCGTGCATCGGGAGATTCACCAGTTCATGGGGGCGGAGAACCAGGACCAAAGGCTTAGAAGTAGCCTAGGGGTGGAACCAGCAGATAGTAGAGTCGTGGTAGCGGCAGGGGATGAACACGCGAACCCTGGCCCCGAAGTAGTCGGACCAGCCCCGCGCCCCGAAAGGGTTACGAGAAATACACGTGCAGTGTTCGCAGGGAGTCGGTAGCATTTTGAGTGCCTCACTTGGTCGTTTTAATGTATTTTGATCTCGTTCGTGGTCATTGCTGGTGGTGGTGGTGGTGGTGGTGGTGCTGCTGCTGTTTTGTGTTGTGTTGCTGTGTATAGCATGCTGTGAGTTGTTGTGTGCCGCCAGTGCTGTTTCGTTGTCGTTGAGGAAACTAACGGAGAAACCAGATTGTACTCTTTGGGTGTTTTCACCGTCAAAAACAACCACACTTCAACAAATTCAATTAGATTAGTACTTTAAACAAATTTAGTATGAGTATCGTAGCAATTTTGTCATGCATAACAACGTGCATGTCCCACGCACATCATTCACGGCCGTCAGCGCGCCATGTTGCCCGCGTAGAAGCGCATAATAACGAGAGAAAACGGATGAAAACACCGGGGGGGGACAAAACCGTCCCATCCCCGGGTTTGCATTATTCCATTCATTAAGTCATATAAACTGAGAAAGTCGTTGAAACCCCCACTTCCCTACCTCCGTCACCAAATCTGACCACGGGAATCGTGCACACATGGGTAGAGGTGACTACAACCAACTTTTCAGAGCTTAGCGGGTTCGGTATTCGCTCAATCTCAACTTCGGGCACACGATCTCGGAAGGCGCCATAGGAGGGGGGGGCTGGACCACCCCATGTACCCACTTATGTCTATATTTTGTCCCACTTTTGTCCAAATTGTACCCACATTTGTCCATTACGGACGGCGGAAATCGAGCTGAAATTGACCTCCACGTCACCGCACGGCAGAACATCGAATGGCCTCGGAGCGTCTCAGAACCTCCCAACATCGTATCCATGGCATCTTTCGTATCCATGGCTGCCGACTGCGGACCGACCGCGGAGGAACATGTCAGACACATGCCAGGCGCCTTCGGTACCGGCACGGGAGAATACCAGGCACGGGAAGATGCCCGCGGCAAGCCCGGCAAGCAGCGCACT